ACAGAGCTGATAGAGTCATCGAGAGTCTGGGCTTTGATGGCTGCGTAAAAGTTGACGCAATTGGCTTTTCTGGGGTTTGTGGATTTTATGGAAGGCCTGTGTTGGGAGTGTTTCAGTGGCTGCGAATGCGAATCAGTTCTTGGCCATTACCATTTCCACAAGAAGTACAAAATGGGGGATTTTTACTGTTTACGCTAGTTCGTTGGAGGCAACTCGCCACTATCTTTGGAACTCTCTTAAGGAATTTTTTGATTTTGACGATATCCTGTGGCTTCTTATTGGTGACTTTAACCAAATTCTTGCAGGAGATGAGAAGCAGGGAGGAAATCCAGAACCAACACGAAAAATGGAGCCTTTTCGGGAGGTGGTGCAATTGAGACATCTCATGGAACTTCATGCAGGTGGTTGTCGTTTTACCTGATCTAACGAGCAGGTGGCGCGTGGTTTGATACGAAAGAAGTTGGATCGTGCCTTTTGCAACGTTGCATGGTGAGCTACCTTTCCGGATGCTTTTGCTACCAACCTACCGAGAGCACATAGTGACCACAGCCCCTTATAGTGAAGACTACACAATGTCATAGACATCAGACCTAGTTTCAGATGCAGTCCTGGTCTTATTTGATTTCTGCAAATAGTGACCACTACACCGTTCTTGTCACTTTGGAGAAGCATGGTCCTGTTGATAAAAATGCTCGGCCTTTTCATTTTGAGATGGCTTGGCTGACCCATCATTCCTTTCCGCGAGTTCTTGCTAATTGTTGGGTTAAAGCGGGAGACTTGAAAAATAATCTCATTGTCACCATGGCTATACTACGGATTTGGAACTCCAGTACATTTGGGAATGTGTTTCGTCGAAAGCGTCTGTTGCTTGCAAGACTTGGTGGCATTCAAAAGGCTTTGGAGACTAAACTGAACCTGTACTTATATGAGTTGGAGGCTAAATTGACTGAAGAGTATAACTTCGTTCTTGCACAAGAGGAAATTTTATGGTTCCAAAAGTCTCGGTCTAGATGGGTGCAATTTGGCGATAAGAACTCTAAGTTTTTCCACACAACCACTTTAGTTCGAAGATCCAGAAATAGAATCAGTTCCCTCAAGGATGTTTCGGGTGTTTGGATTCATGATTTGGATGCCATAAAACGTTTAGTTATTGCTCACTTTCAATCAGTTTACCACTCTGAAGACTTCGTGGTGGATTTCAATGTCCTTTGGCCCCACTCATCTTTGCCTTTGAGTGAGCAACACTTGAATGCACTGATCAAGGTTCCCCACGATGCAGAAATTTGGTGCGTACTTAAACAAATGGCCCCCTTCAAAGCTCCTGGACCTGATGGATTTCAAGCAGGTTTCTACCAATCTAATTGGGATACGGTGGGTAACTCTCTATAATTTTGTAAAAGAAGCTTTTGTACTTGGTTCTTTTGACTCGGAGTTGAGTAATCTTTTGGTGTGCTTGATCCCGAAAGTAGACAATCCAGAGTTTGCCTCCCTATTTCATTATGCAATGTATCGGTCAAACTAATTCCTAAGGTGATTGTCAATCGCCTTCGCCCTCTTCTCAAGGATATTATATCACCGACTCAGAGCAGCTTCATTCCAGGTAGGGTCACTACGGATAACATTGTAGTAATTCAAGAAGTCATGCATTCTTTGATGCATAAGGGCAAGCTCGGGGCCATGGTTATGAATATTGATCTGGAAAAGGCTTATGATCGGATTAGTTGGGAGTTCTTGCGGTGGGTTCTTATGGATCTCGGCCATCCACTCTTATCTCACTTATAATGTTTGTATTTCTTCCACTGAAATGAACCTGCTTTGGAATGGGGAAATGACCTTGTACTTCAAGCCTTCAAGAGGACTGCGACAAGGTGACCCTCTCTCCTCATATTTATTCGTGCTCTATTTGAATAAACTGTTAGTGGTGACTGAATCGGAAGTGATGAAGGGTGTGTGAAAACCGTTCCTTGCATCACGTGGGGGACCCCCGTTATCGCATCTCATGTTTGCGGATGATCTAATTCTTATAGGTGAAGCTTCGATGGTGCAGTGTCAAGTTATGATGATGTGCCTCAATAATTTTTGTGGTTTTTCGGGTGAGAAAATCAACCTGGCAAAGTCTCGCTTTATCACCTCTCCTAATGTTGCTAGGTCCATGGTGAATAATATACACTCAAGCTCGGGTATTTCGCACTGTACTGACTTGGGTATGTATTTGGGTGTCCCATTACACACTCAGAAGGTGAATACTCAAACCTATGACCATATCCTCCATAAGATAAAGATGAAGGTTGCATCCTGGAAAGCCAAGCACTTGTCGCTCGCCGGTAGAGCCACTTTAGTCCAATCAGTCACTAGCACGATTGCGACATATACTATGCAGACCTCGAAACTACCTTGGTCGGTGGCTAAGGAGATTAATTCTTTGAATAGAGATTTTTATGGGGTTCTACAAATGAGAGGAAGAAAGTGGCATTGGTGAAATGGGACAGTGTTTGCAAACCGAAGAAAGATGGTGGGCTGAGTATTCGTCGAACACATTCCATGAATATGGCTCTTCTCTCCAAGCTTGGATGGCGGTTGGAACAGGGTGACAAGAGTATCTGGGCACAGGTTCTTCGATCGAAGTATTTGAAAGGGAGATCCTTCCTTTCATATGTCGTTAAGCCTGCTTCTTCCCATACATGGCGCAGCATCGCTGCAAGTAACCTTTGGTTCGTATGGGTTGCTCTCGGGTCATTGGAAATGGTAAGTCCACACGGTTCTGGTCCGACTCCTGGTTAGGGAATAAACCACTGGTGGAAGTCTTGGGCGAGGAGAATTCACGCGGTCGAGAGGAGCTAACAGTCCACGAATTCCTTCAGCATAAGCATGATTTTGGCAGCATCATTCAAGCTTTACCCAACAGTCTTCAAAATGAGCTAAGACTGCTCATGCCTGATACGAGTCATGCTTGATATGAGTCATGAAGATAAAATTGTGTGTGTGTGTGTGGGGGGGGGGGGCCTGGTTTGGAAGCCAAACTTACCACCTCGGATCAAACACTTCATGTGGCTTGTGATGCACAATAAGGTGCTTACAAGGGAGGCATGCTTTCAAAGGAATATTACTTCTTCAGCAACTTGTCTGCGTTGTGGTTTTGCTACATAAAACATCATGCATTTGTTACGAGACTGTAATTCCTCTCTTTCCATCTGGCCCTACTGGTTGAATGGAAGGAGATTGGAGCAGTTTACTGCTCTTGACTTGAAGGATTGGTTGCGGTTTAACCTCTCCAACTCAAACTTTCTTGTCGGCAACAACATCCCTTGGAATGAGCTATTTTGTTTTGTGTGTTGGTATATATGGAAGTGTCGAAATGATTCTATTTTTGCACCAGTTTTTGTTTGGCTGTCTAATGCCTTTGATATTATCATGTCCAGTGCTTTGGAGTATAGGTGGCTACGTGGGGTGCCAAGTGTGGCTCTACCAAAGGTACTCAGAATGGTAGCATGGAGGGCACCACCTAGAGGGTTTGTCAAGATTAATGTAGACGTGGCAGTACGAGGGACTCCAGGAGAGCTAGCCTTAGGTGGTCTTGCCCGTAATGAGGAAGGATATTGGTTCTTTGGCTTCATACGACGGTTGGGATATGACCATATTACCAAAGCGGAATTGTTTGCTATTTATTATGGCCTGGAGTTGGCATGGGCGAGAGGCTTACAGAATGTTATAATTGAATCAGACTCCTTATTAGCTGTTAACAAGGTGAATGAGGCTACCAATCCTACTGATCTTCTACATCAAGTGGTTTGGGCATGCAAAGAACTACTGCAACGTAGCTGGAATTGTTGTGTGGTGCACACTTACCGTGAAGCCAATATGTGTGCAGACTATTCAGCAGCCTGTGCTTATAATGGGGGTTTTGGAGTTGCCCAGTTGGATCACCCACCAAGCGAACTTCGGAAACTATTGCAGGAAGACCTCATTGGTGTTGCTAGGCCTAGGGCTATTATTGTATGATCTTAGCAGTCCATGACCGCTCAAACCAGGGCCGGCTGAAGGCATAGGCCACTAAGGCATATGCCTAGGGCCCCCATTTTATTGGGGCCCCAAAATATATATAATTATCTTTATATTTGGAAAAGAACACTAATAAAGTTTAATTGTAACTTTTTATATTTTATATTTATAATTAATTAGATTGTAACAGTAAAAAAAAAGAGAAAAGCACATATTAAATACTCATTCTTATTTATGCATAGTTTATGCATTTTTTTCTCTTACTAACTTCCTTTATTTTCTTCTCATTCACTCATCTTTCATATTTGTTTAATCTTTGATACTCAACATACATAATTACAATTCTAATCCAGAAGGCCCCAAAATAAAACGTAAGCTTGTTGGTTTTTATTTATTTTAATTAATTTACATTCATTCTCCTCTCTCTCTCTCTCTCTCTCTCTCTCTCACATATAGCTCACGGATATGTTCTGTATTTTGTGTTTTTATTTTTTCTTTTATATATTTTTATTAATAAAATCTTATTTACGTTCAACAATGTCTCAAGAGATTAAATAATTTGACCATTTTATCAATTGAATATTAAAGCTTGAATATAAAATTTAATTAGTAATTTTGCATCTCAAAAAGCTAAAAAAATAAATTTTATATAAAATTTATTTTTTAAAAACTAATATTTAATTTTTTTAATGTTAAGGCCCTAAATATTTTTCTCTGCCTAGAGCCTCAAAAATGCTTGAGACGGCCCTGGCTCAAACGCACCAAAAAAAAAATGCCTGACGAGATGCAAGACACACCAACATCTAACGTGTTCAATTTGCGACCATAGAAATCAAAAAACTAAACCTTCCACAAAAAAAGCGATTAAGATGAGATTATGAAAGAAAACCAAAGTGACATTATTGGTCGGTGTTCGTGTTTCGTAATGTACCAGAAGAATTCCCAGATTATGTTCCATGGACCGCTCGCATCTCAATAATTCTTGACCTCTCCAATGTAACTGAAAATAGAATGTTCTTACAATGAAAGAGCTAGAAAATAAAATTCAACAGCGAACAAATTCCAGGGAGTAATCCCAAGATAAATTTATGACAAAAATAACAGTTCTCTTCTACTCTCAGCCACAATTCAGAGTAATTACAGTAGTTTAGGTAGTGCGATTCTTGAGAAACTCAAATTGCAAGGGGGGTGTTCGTACCATGAGGATGAGGTGGAGGAGAGGTCGGCGACGGCGACGGTTTTCGTCGATAGGAGGCAAGATGGAGGTTCTGTGGTTATCTTCAATGTCGAATAGAGATTGCATTGCAACGCCTGGACGCGGGTCCTCAAGAAAGAACGCCATTGCTTGAGAGAGAGAGAGAGAGCAGAGTGATGTTTATATAGAGTGAGTTTCGAAAGGAGAGCAGAGTGCTCTCAATTCAGAGTTTGAGATTCGGATCGGAACAACAGCCTCGTTGTGTACCCGACCCGGAATTGATGGGGCTGAGGAACGTGCGTTCTTTTCCATAATCTAAAAGAGTGGTGTTAGAGGCACACCACCCATCACAACCCCAACCACACTCGCCCCTTTCAATGCTACAGTAAACCGGGCCCCACATGAGATTTTAAAATTTTTAAAATCCCATGTGGGGCCCGGTTTACTGTAGCATTAAGAGGGGGGAGTGTGGTTGAGGTTGTGGTGGGTGGTGTGCCCCTAACATTATTTAATCCAAAAAACAGAATTTGCACAGTCAATGGCTACACTGCACCATCGATGATCGATCATTGGCCCATCGATGGTTGTGAGCCATCATTAATGGTTATGATGTTATTTTGACATAATTCAATAGTTGGCGGTTCGTTGATTATTTTGATCTCCTATTAAAACTCTTACTAGATATTTCTTTATTATCCAAATAAGGCCTATTTAAGAGGAGTTGGAAATCATATTTGAAGAGAAGAAGACAAGAAGAAGATAGAGATGCAAAATTGCATAAAAAAGGAGAGATGTTTTCTAGGGTTTAAGAGAGAGAGACAAAGAGAGTTTTGATCTAATCGCCTAAGCCTCATTCAACTTCTTCTCTGTGCGCATTTTATCAGAGTTTGATTCAGAGAAAAGAAGTGTCCTACGCCTACAACGCTACACCATTTCTTTACGGATCTTCATCTACATTGGTTTGAAGAACAGTTTGATAAAGGACTGTAAGATTGTTCTTTTTGTTCATTTTTTGTTTTGGGTTAGTTGTGTTTTAAACTTGTGAGTTTGACAGCGTACTCAAACCCGGGTAATTGAGGGTTGGCGTGCTCAAGCCAGGTCAATTGAGGATTGAGCTAGCTAGGGCTAGGTTTCTTCTTGTCATTGTGAAGAGTTAGTTTAGACGACTGATTTTGGGTAGAATCCATGATGCTCTCTTTGAAGCCAACTAAATTGTGTTGTGACTTAGGTGAACTCTGGTCATAGTGAAGAAGACCCCTCGTGAGAAGGAAGAGTGGATATAAGATTTTAATCCGAATTACTATAAAAGCCTCATGTGTTCATTTTTTGTTATTTTATTTTCATTGCATATTTTGAATTAGTCGAAAAATTGTAGCAATCATATTTTGAATTAGTTACGTAAATTCGCTCTATTCATGATCTCATCACTTTCTGTACTTTCAAATATTTTCTTTCTCTGTTTTTATACAGTTCACTGAGGAGTCAAATGCAAGTAGCTGTACATATGAACAACACTGTAAATTTCTTTCAAAATTCTGCCACGCCATCAAAGTTCTTCTCACTTCGAATTTATCCCGCACTCGTTATTGCGGATGTAGCACTTGCCACACTTCATGATAACAGGACTCCAAGTCACCCTTCAAGAAAAATTAGCAAAGCAGTAAATAATTATTTGATAAATGGAAGGATTAATAATATACTCGCAATATTTTTTTTTATTACTCTTTATATCACATGAACTCCAGGCTGCATTATTGTTCAAGTTGGGTAGAGCATGAGAATCATGAGACGATAAAATATATTTTTGGCGTCAATTTAAAGAAAAAGAGAAGAAAAAATCAAGTAATGCATCTAATAAAGAAACTTGAAAGTATTAATGACTACACCATCACAACGGAGAAATGCAATTTCCCCCACAACACGGGTTACTTAAATCTTTAATATTTAGAATTTAATCGCTAGTATGATTGAAGTTATTAGACCTCTCAAAACCTATAACTTGCTTCAAATCTGTCCCTTTGTTAAATTTTGTCGTCTAATTTACTAACCCTGGTTGGATCAATGATTAGTCATAGGTAATTACCTACTTTTTTTACCTTAATTTTTTTACCTTAATGAAACGGAACAGGGGAAGATACCATATAAGAGCATAAGAGTACTATAACTGACATTTTTCATTACAAAAATTAACTCAAAAGGAAATTATCTACAAATCTAAACAATTTTAATGATTAATTTTGAGATAAATTATAAGATTTAGGGATGTAATACAGTTCTAACGATTCGAGATACCAATTTCAAAGTATTAAAGATTTAAGAGATTTTTAATATTGAGAATGATTATTTAGATATTCGTCCCTTAAAATCTTCCATTATTTTATATATGTATCCCTCAAATCTCAGTGATTCCTGATTGGTCCCTCATCCACAGGGCTACTGATATTTCATTTTTTTCGGATATACCTAGCAGATCAGCGATTACCCTTTTACCCTTAGTAAAGAACATAATCTTAGGGAGAAAATATAATTAAATGAGTACGGATTTTAAATGGGTTTGATCTTAGAAGGATTTTAAAAAAACAAGTATGGTTTGAGATCTAAATTAGACATCAGAGTGCAGGTGATGATATTAATTTCTTTCACAAAAATTTAACTTCAAAGGAGTATTCTCTCCTAATCAAGCCACAAGATGAATTAATCAAAGATTCAGGAGATTGTTATGTGAGAATGGAAACAGATGAATTGCTAGAAATGGGTGTTATAATTATACCTCCTCGATAAGTTCAAAGGTGCTAACGTTGCGTAAGAACTCAGCAAATTGTCGCGGGAACTGTTCCTTGACGGAGCACAAAAGCACAGCTGCGGCTATCACCGACGGCCTGTACTTCAGAATCCCCTCGCTCGCTGAAAAAAAAATAAAAAAAAAGTCAGAAATTCAAGAAAAGAAGAAGAAATTAACTAACCATGATGCGTACGTGCACGGGACCTCAAAACTCAAATTACCTGTCTGGATATCGAAGAGCATCTCAGAAGCGCGATCCGTGAGAACGTTCCAGTGTTGAGAGATGGGTTTAGGGTAGAATCTGGAGAGATAGAAATGGAGGAAAGCGAACGGAGTTACCGAATTCAGGTCCCCATTCAAGGAGTTCATCACCTGCACCTCAGCTCTGTGACCTTCGTCGTAAGAGAAGTACTCGAACCCGTCGTCCTCCTGAAATCAAGAAGCCGGGGGGGGTCAAGAAATCGTACGTGACTGTGGTCAATAATTTAATATTTCAAGAAACTGGGGTGGCCCAAGACTTAACCCTGAGGTCGAAGATGCTCAAGGGACGTCCTGAATCTGAGTGCCGAGAAGCGAGGAAGAGGCAAACGGCCGCGATGACCGAGGTGTAATGAGGTTCCTGTACTTGGTTGTTGTGGATCAAGCGGTCGCCGTAGTTGATGGCGAGATAGACCACTCTTGGATGGAGATTGCAGGATCGCTCCGCCTGAGATCAGTTGGAGAGGATTTCTTGAGAAAAGGGTTTTCGGGGTTACAGTTTCGGATGCGGGGACGTACCATGCGGATGTAAAAGACGACCCATTGGCGTTGGTTCAAATCGATGGGGAACGAGATGGAGGTTCTGTGGTTGAATTCAATGGCGAATAGATCTTCCGTTTGAATGCCTGGACGCGGGACCTCAAGTCTGAACGCCATTGCTTTGATAGAGAGAGAGCGCAGAGAGGGAAAATAAAGGTGGCCGTTTAAAAAGAGACCGAGGTTCGAAAGGAAAGCGGAGCGCTTCCCATTTTCGGATCTTGGAACAGGACCCGAACCACAACCTTGGTTTGTGCCCGACCCGGAATTGATGCCGCGGAGAACAGTGCATTCTTTTTTTTTTCCATCCACTTTTAAGTAACCTATAGTTTCCCTAAGTTTGCACTTATATATCCTCACTTTGTCTTTTGCACCACTTACACGCCGTAGAGGTTTGGAAATTTACAATTTTCCTCCGAAAATTGATGTGATACTCACAATGTCAATTTTAAAACTTTTTAACCATTTATTTTTTTTTTTTTGTTAAATTTACTAAATTGTAGTAAATTTTAAAAACATTGCATAAATTTTAAAAACCTAACATAAATGCGGTCAAGAATAATTGAGGGTATATAAGTGCAAAATAAGATAAATTATAGCGTTTTAAGTACAATTCAGCCTTTATACGAAATAGTCTAATTATAGACGTGCAGTTTTCTTTTCAAAGACAAGTGCCGGTCCGGACTTATATGCAAAATTTTAAAAAGAAAAATCTTACGAGCGAGGATTTGGATCTTTCTCCGATATCAAACCATAGTGGGAAAGTACACTAGTTTTAATTCAACCATCAAGCATAGATTATTACATATATGATTTTAATTTGTCTTCTTCCGTATAAAATAAAAATGAGCACAATTCTATGAGGATATGATAAGTATAATATGAAATGACTCACGCTCTCTCAGTCATCCATCAAACAATTAATTACGGCTAAAATACCAAATTGGTACTTTTATACGAACATGTTTGTAATTTATCACTTATAGAATATGAGCTGGTGAATGTCACCGAGGAGTGAGTTACTTTTGTTTGCTGACAATCATGGTTAGTTTCAGTTAATTGTTGTTTTTCTTATTAAAATATGTACATGTTTCTCTAAAACTGACAGCTTTGTTGTTACATAAGGTCTAATTGAAGGTTATTATGTTCTTGTTAACAATTCGATCTTTGACTTGGTGTTTAGTAAAGTCAAATGTGGATTATAAATTGGTTTGGTATCAATTTCTACGGGTTTTTTCTGATTCTGTGAGGATATACTTTGGTTTGCTTGATTGCAACTTCTCTGTTGTAGCACTTTCTTTTTTAGCTTCTATTGTTTATTGGGGCCTTGAAGTGATTAGAATGGTTGTTTTCAATAATTTTAGTAGTATTTTTCTTATAATTTTTCTTCTGAGTATGTACACGGAAAAGTTCTACATTTGTGATGAGCTCATAACGAGCTCATAACTTTTGAATTGATATGATATATGATTCTTTAATTTGAGGAACCGTTGTTCCACGCATAAATGCTTTGTTGTCACCGGAGTTTTTAAAAATACCAAAATGACAAATATGTTCGTATAAAAATATCAATTTGGTATTTTAGTCGTAATTAATTATAAACAATGGATTATTCATTACTTTTTGACAGTAAAGAGGATTCAAAATCTTATAAACAAATAAATATATAGATACAAACTTATCAAAATAGCCTGTATGTGAACGTTCTTGTCCTTGGTCATTCAGAAAGAAAGTACATGAATAATAATTGCATTAGATATTTTTATTTCACTCATTTTGTTAAACATTAGAAATGATCTTGTATCATGGGTAGCATGTTTATTACACCTGGCTTTCCCTCGGTTCATAACTCATTAGATTGTTGTTGTTTTTTTCCTTTCTTCCTTTTTTAAAAAGATAATAGTTAATTGAAGAAATCAACTTTTTTTTTCCTTTCATCTTGAATTATGGGAAAAGATCAAGAACAATCACATTAACTTCTAAGGGCATTGAACAACTGTCTGTAGCTCGCAGGCAGCGGTTCTTCAATTTAAAGAATCATATATCATATCAATTCAAAAGTTATGAGCTCATCACAAATGTAAAACTTTTTCGTGTACATACTCAGAAAAAAAAATTATAAGAAAAATACTACTAAAATTATTGAAAAGTGTGGCACTAGAGGCACACCCTCAACCACAACTCTAACCACACCCCCTCTCTCATTTGCTACAGTGCACCAGGCCTCACATGAGATTTTAAATTTTAAAATCTCATGTGGGGCCCGGTGCACTGTAGCAAATAAGAGAGGGGTGTGGTTGGAGTTGTGATTGAGAGAGTGTGCCCCTATCATTTTCTTATTGAAAACAACCATTTTAATCACTTCAAGGCCCCAATAAACAATAGAAGCTAGAAAAAAAATTGCTACAACAGAGAAGTTGCAATCAAGCAAACTAAAGTATATCCTCACAGAATCAGAAGAAACCTGTAGAAATTGATACCAGACCAATTTATAATCCACATTTGCCATTACTAAACACCAAGTCAAAGATCGAATTGTTAACAAGAACATGATAACCTTCAATTAGACCTTATGTAACAACAAAGTTGTCAATTTTAGAGAAACATGTACCTATTTTAATAAGAAAAACAATAATTAACTGAAACTAACCATGATAGTCAGCAAACAAAAGTAATTCACTCCTCGGGGACATTCACCAGCTCATATTCTATAAGTGATAAATTGTTGTCCTCCTTAACTGGAAAGTCAGCGGGCTCAGTAACCTCGACGCGACCCCACTTGTCAACAACTAGCCTCATAGATCCCTTGAACATATCAATCTTTGCGTTACGAATGATAACGGTGGCGCCAGGTTTCATCATATCAACTGTTAATATGCAAAACCCTTCGTCATCATGCATGATTTCAATAATATAAACATTATGTTCCATAAGTATTTGGTCCACTCTTTGCACATAGAGAACCCTTTGATAATAGTTATGATATTAAACAGTCCTGAGCGAAAAAAACTCATACTTTAGTAGGCTAAAACTTAGTTAACATATAAAACAAAGCATGAAAGAAGAAACAAGCAGAGGAATTGTTTAAATAACCATCCGCATTTTTTTTGGCTGCCCTCAACATATTGGGCATGAGGGAATGGTTCAAGGTTTGGAAACTTTTGCTCAACCAGAGTACTAAACAAAGAAAAAGTAACAGAACAACATACAACGACTATCACAGGAACAAGCATTTATCACAATTTTAGGTCAGCTAAAAAACAAAATAATGATAATATTCAAATCAGGGGAAAGATGGGAGTGATTGAATAAGCAAGGTCTGTAGTCTTTGAGAAGCAAATAAAGAAAGATTCACGAACAATGCGGCAAAGTATCTATCAATTTACCAGTTTAGGTGAGGAAATAATAAGTGAAAAGATAGTCTGATAAGCATCAACAATAAATTCACTTAAAGAACAAACTGAAATTATCAAATCACAGCATGCAACAATGAATTTGATCAAAGTTAAAAGCAATTACTAATGGAAATTGTTCACCAACACCATATTGGATGGAATAAATTTCATAAATGCTTCACAACACAAACAGCCAATTGAACTTCCAACAGCTCTATAATGTACAATAGTCACATTAATAATTAATAACATAAACACTGTTAGATGCTAAAGTGAAAAAAGGAGCATGTTTTAGAAGTTGAAAACCTAAAAGAATTAGTAAGTAAAAATGGATTAACATGAACTTTTTATCTCTGCAACTAGCCGACAATTAGGCAAGGACATACTAAAGTGATAACAGCGAGATTCAAGTTTCATTATATTTAAGATATTCCATAACATATTAGAAAACATTGAATACGAAGATCTGCATGTTACTACTGGAAAAAATACCCAATTATGTCAAGTCAACACACCTTTAAAGTACAAGAAAAATATATAAGACACTGCTACTTGAGACTAAGCAAAGGTTTACTTGAGCAGTGTAAACAAAGGTGAGAAGACAAACATGCTGTTGAAAGATGAGAAAGGAAGCATTGTAGATGCTTTTATTTTGCAATATTTAAGAGACCGAAAATTTGAGACCATTTAAGAAGGTATGGCACATTTGTCGGAGAGATAAGATTGCTGCGATAAAGGAAATAGCTCTAATTTGCAGTTACTAAAACTGAAAAGCATAATGATTATTCAGACAACATGATACAATGTGATATAGCTGCAAACTTACATTTTAAAAAACTCAAAAGACATATGCAGAAAATGGCAGAGTGGTTAGAAACTTTGGAGGTGATTGTAAATTATATGAACCGTCTTATCCATATGGCCACATCCTCTATAACCTAAAGAACGGAACGGCATATGCATTACTCATACGAATTTCATGACATCCTTTTGAATAAGTAATCATCGAACTGTAGGAAAATTTTACAAAAATCTTACAAATACTGGTGCGTCCTCGCTAAATTAAACCATTAAATCAAAAATACATATTGAGCAAACATTAAGAGAAATGATAGAATTTCTTAACGTGCATAACTGATCAAGTGCATAACCTTGGACTTGAGTGCATATGACGGATCAAACAGTTCCACAATATCTCCCATGGACAAATTTTCAAAACCGACCACTTTGGGATTTTAATTGCAAAAAACGACCCATTTCAATCTTATTTATAAAAACCGACCCAGTTGGTTGAAACTGGGTCGGTTTTTAAAAAAAAAATTCTCAAACTTCACGGGAGTTCAACTCCCGTGAAGTTTTGTTATGAGAAAAACTTCACGGGAGTTCAACTCCCGTGAAGTTTCCCAAAAAAAATTACAAAAACCGACCTGTTTTCAGCCCCTGGCTGAAAACAGGTCGGTTTTTGTAAATATTTTCAAAACCGGTCGTTTTTTGCAATTAAAAACCCAAAAGGGTCGGTTTTGAAAATTTGTCCTATCTCCCATTGGTAATTTATAAGTAATTCTAATGCAACCTTTGTCAATAATGAATCTTTTCACTAAGCCCGACCCCAACATTTTAACATTTACACATTGTATCTCAATATAAATGCCAGAAAAATTGTTCTCCACATGCAACATATGAAATTTATTAAAAATCAAAATTCACCAGAGATAAATTGACAAACTACTTTAAAACTAGAATAGAAAAATTCACAAATTAGAGCGGATCTACTAACTAGGCTTCCGAAAGGGGAGTGCTAGCTCACCTTGCTCGTTTCGAGCGGTGAAAACGATGGAGGCGGTCTCGTCACCGATCAAGCACTCGGCGATCTTGGTCTCGCGAAGGTGAGGAGACGCAGCGCGTCCCTTTTGAAGCACTGTTTTCGAGCTGACGACCTTCGCGGTGAGCGTATGGCCCTTGGTGCCGGGCTTCAGCTCATCTACTTTCTCGAACACCGGTTTCCTCTTCGCCGTCGATCCGCTGCCGCTCTGTTGTTGCTGCTGCTGCTGCGTAGACATGATTCGCGAAACCCTAACCTCACAAACCCTAGGTTTTTATTTTTGTTTTTTTTTTGTTTTTTTTGGAGTGGTGTTAGTCACAAACCCCCAACAACACCCCCTCTCTCATTCCCTACAGTACACCGGGCCTCATACAGGGTTTTAAAATTTTAAAATCTCACGTGGGGTCTAATGTACTGTAGCAAATGAGAGAGGAGCTATTGTTGGAGGTATGGTTAGACGTGTGCTCCTACCATTTCTTATTTTTTTTTAGCGAGGTGAGAGAGAGAGGAGATGAGGCTTTTTAACCTTTACCTTTGGCTAAAGGCTAAATGGCACTTACATATAGAGCTGTGCAATCGGTCTGTGGGTTCGGTTTTTGGCCAAATTTAGCCAAATCGAACCGATTTAAGTAGGTTTGATTTTATTTGGGTCAGTTTGTTCGGTTTTCGCTTGGGTATAAATGTTATGTCCAAATTTAATTTCACCTCTAATCGGTTGACGAATACAAAAATCCCCTACACTTCAATTAATTAAAATTCATGAACTATCAAATGCTACTGAATATTAGATATAGAAATCAAAATCTGATTTCTGCCAAAGCTTACATAATTTTTTTAGAGAAAGTTTACATAAAGAATTAAAGTGATCTCAATCCGATAGACAAATTAAATAAAAAATATGTAATAATTTGGATGTTGTGTATAGTTTCTAATTATAAGTCTGGTTCAAACAGAAGTCTGATCCAAAGATTCTCTTGCATTATGTGTATCAATCAAGTAGAAAAATCAAGAAAATATTAAAATCAATATTATAGTTTAACTTTCTTACCTCCAAAGTGGATTGACCCAAACTAGAAAAAGCGAATAGATAATAGAGAGAGGTAGACAACTAGAGATGATGAAAAAGCCTAGAATTGGAGAGGGCATCATTGTTGGGGTATTTCATCACTATCAGGTCTCGTGAGAGAAAAAGATTTCAAGCTGCAACGAAGCAACTCTATATGAATTATGACGGGTCATGTTTGAGCGGATGCGGATAGTAACTAGAATGGGTAATACAGTTTGGTCGGTTCGGACGGTTCAGGTTGAAAAAAATTCAATCCGACCCAACCAGACCCGGACTTTAGTAAAAACCGAACCGAAGTATCAAATTTCCGTCGGTTCGGTCGGTTTGTTTAGTTTGAACCGACTATATATGCTCACCTCTACATACATAGTTAAATACCCTATAGTTTCACCAATTTTATTAATGCTCTCTATTTTAAAGTCATGTACTTAAATTTTAAATATTTAAGGTTTTAAATTATTACACATTGATGTCCTTTTCTTTACCTAATACTCTCTGTTTGTAAATGGTCCCATTTAAATACCCTAAAGTTTACACTTAGTAACATTTGTTTAGTGATATTTTTGGATGAGAATATTATACATCGTCTATGCTTTTTTAACTTTGAAGCATTTATCTACAATATTTAAATCATATCATACTCTCTTTAAAAGCACGAGTTCGGAAAATCTTTTTTAGACAAATATACCCCTTTATAGTTTGAACTACCTTATCTATAATCAAATTCTAATTTTCAATGGTCAATATTATCCTTCACTATTTTGAATATTTTATTTATATCTTAATCTATCCTAATCCTAATCATATCTTATCCTAATCCTATGTAAACCATGTTTAGCTTAACAATTTAAAAAAACTAATATTAATAAAATATATAAAACATAAAAATGATATTAATTTGTTAAGATAAAGAAATTACAAGTAGATAACATATTATAATACATGAAGTATTACAAAAAAACCATAAAAAGTTTTAAAATTGCAGAAAAGACCCTGAAAAGTTCAAAATTATAAAAATCATCCTAATGTCTCAAAACTTAAAATAAAAAACATGAAATTAAAAAATTAACATCAGTTTGCAAAGAATTTAAAATTTACAGTTAACACCTCAATGTCTCAAAAATTATAGAAACACCCTCAAAAGTTTAAATTACAGACAAGCACATTAAAATTCTAAAATTTTAAAACTTACAAACAACACAGATGAATTCAAGAGATTACCATGATACACCTAAAATTTTTGACATTTAAATTTAAATTTTTTAATTAACACCCTCAATATCTCAAAAATTATAGAAACACATTCAAAAGTTCAAATTATAAAAAACCACCCTAAAATTCTAAAATTTGTAAATAAAATAAGATGAATTCAAGATATTACCCTTAGACACCTAAAAAATTAAAATTTGCCAAAATTAACCTCAAAATTTTTAAAAAACTCCTTCAAAATTTAAAAATCGTAAAAAAAAACTCTAAATTTTAAAATTTTTAACTAGCACACATCAAATTCGTCGATTGGTAGACCGCTGAAATTTAATATTTTTCAAAATTAATCTATAGTTTTAATAATTGCAAAAGACACCCTCAAAATTTTAGAGTTACAAGAAATATACTAACATTTAAAAAATTACCACCAACACATGAAACATAGAATTTACAACTACCAAACTTAAAAGTAAATTTTTTTAAAAACTCTTTCAAAATTTTAAAAATTATAAATCACACCCTCAAAGTTCAAAACCACAAAAATGGGCTAAAATTTTAAAACTTGGCAAAGAAAAGTGTAATTGTTTGGTATTTTTCATATATATATATATATTAAAATTTCTAATTTAGGGATTTACTATCCATTTTCAACATCTAAGAATAGTCTAAGTTGATACTGGTAAACAAAAACAATAAGAATTGATTAAAAACATCCGGTTAATGGATAAAAATTTTAAAAATATTATAGATTAAAAATTACCGGCACTATATAAATTAAATTAATTTCATATAATTTTAGTAATAAGTTGGGGTAGCCAAAATACATTTGTAACATTAATTGATAGATGTTTAAATCCATAGAAATGATAAAACACTATAATATTATACCTTAGCATTAATTGATTTTAATTTAGAAACTTTAAAACACTATATTGATAAAACACTATATTGATTTTATATATATGAAATTAATATTTATTCTCATTGAAATAGAAAAAAATTAAAGTCTATATTTTGAGCAGTTTGTGTTGAACATCATAAGTACATTTGACTTCTTTGTAAAGTTAAATGAGATGATAAAAAATTAACGAGCCCAGGAAAGATAATAGCATAAAAAATACAAAATTAGCCTGATGTCACAATTAATGTAGATGATGAAGACAATACTCTAGAATTGTCCGAGAAATGATAAATGATAAACCTGAAGAAGGATTGATCTTAACTCAATAAAAAATAAAATAGAAGAAATAAAAACAATATTTTATGAATATTTTATAGAATAGTTTAATTATTTTGAGTGAAATTAGGAATCTTTAGAAGAGAGTTTCATGAATTTTTTTCAGTACTTTTATATTCTTATGTGGATGTTTTTATCATATAAAAGTATACTAGAGTTAGCATTAATCTTTAATTTATATTTTTTTATGAAGTCTATCAATGATTAGGAATAAACTTCATATTCTCTTTTGCATCGTTTTAACATACTTTAAATCAATCATTTTGCCATATTGGTTTGAAATATTCACCTTCCTTGTATAACACTATTTTAATATTTTTCACTTTGTAATACTATACTTTCTCAAATAAAGCTTAGTTTCATATCGGTCAAAAATAATATGAAAATTTAAATTATTATACTTTCTCAAATAAAGCTTAGTTTCATATCGGTCAAAAATAATATGAAAATTTAAATTATTTTTAAAATATATTTGTTTTTAATTAATTCAAATATCAACATGAAAATTTAAATTGGGTGTATCCCATTTAAACAAACATAAAAAAATAATTGGGATGTAAGAGTTTAAAGAAAAAATGAGCACAAACTGCCAAAAATACTTAATCATGATATTAAATCACGTGCATTGCACGTGTGTAAAAACTAGTACTTTAAAATATTTAAGTGTATTGTTTTAAAATAGAGTATATTAAAGTGCAAAGTTGGTGGAATTATAAGGCATATAGGTGAAATTATAAGGCAAAGAAGTGCAATTAGCCTTTATCTTTTCACTTATTTTTCATTTTTCACTTGTGTGTGTACGACACCTGCGGAAGCACGTGGAATCAAATAAGGGTCTTTTAAATAAAAAAGTACAAACGATATCTATAAACTTCAATTTATAAAAACCACCTTTAATGGGGCTTTGCTTGCAATCATCAATCTCAACTTATTTTTTGCTAAAATTTTAATAAAAGATTTAAAAAATACACATAGTAGACCCATGATATGTCTTTTTAATCAAACACATATTTTTTTTGGGTGTGTTACTATTGCTTTCTAAGAATCTCAATTATAATGTAATTAGAAAATTGATAAAGGTGGTTGATTGCAATTGGAACATTCCTCAAAGATGGATTTTGAATTAATTAAACTTCAAAGATGTTTTTTTCAACATTTTCAACCCATTTGAAGATTTTTTTTAATCAAAAACCCATCAAATAGTTTTGAAAACTATAGCAAATAACTCGAACAAACTTATCGCAAGTATTTTTAGTAAGACACTTTTGAAATAACATTATGGAGTAGTCTAAACTTTGAGATCATCAGATTAAGTGGAATAATAATCAGATTAGTACTCAAGTTTTTGTTAGTTAAGCCACTTTTCGGACAAAATAAACAGGGCTAGGAGCAATCAAGCCACCACGTACGTTTAGAATTAGAATCTAGATTAGTTCTCAAGTTGCCAAAATGATCCTAAAGATCTTGTTTCTTCAGCTAATGACACCATTACCAACTTGTATTTGTGAGTTTGTTACCTAGATTCATGGTGTGGTGTTAACCACCCATGAAATGGTCAGTCATAAAAGTGGTCTAACGTTCATAATTTGTTGTAACTGCCCAATCTGTGGATGATTAATCTAATCCTATGTAATGACCATAAATTTTTCGATATTGATTGAATAATTTTTCTGATATTTTAAATATTAAATTATTATTTTTTGAAAAAAAGTAATTTTCTTGTGTTTTCCTCTCTCACCGTTAACCACTCTGTCTCTCTCTCTCTCTCTAATCTCTCATCTCTCCTCCCTACCCCACTTCATTATTTTCCTCCTCGTTTCCCGCATACCCCTCCCTCGTGTTTCCCTCTGCTACATCTCCCTCTCCTACAAATCTCTTCTCTACGTTCTCTCTCTCCAACTCCATCTCTCACTCCTTTTAATCTCTTCCTCCAATTCCTGCTCCTCTCTCTCCCTCTAAACCCACAACCCCACCTCAGACCCGCCTCTACCTCTAGGCTTGCCGCAGCTCACACCAAACCACCATCGCCTCTCCTCTTCGCCGTCCAACTCCACCGCCCTCACCCCGACGACCCCGACAACCTCCTCCCACCTTCGGAAATCCAAGACAGCGGGGAAAGGCTCCGAACAACAAGGAACAAGACCGATCGGCGAGCAATTGCACTGCAGAAAACTACAGCTTTGTGCCGACTTCGCACTCCCTTTCCAATCACCTCCGACATCTGTTTCTGCCACTGTCTTCTCCAGTGAGTAGCCTTATATGTTGTCTATCACCTTCAATTTGTATCACGCTCTAACTCACTCTCTATCTCTCTCGGTATCATCCTAAACATCACTGGATGGCAAGCAGTTCGCAGAAAACTGTAGCTTTGTGCCGACTTCGCACGCGCTTTTCGATCGCCTTCGACCTCCATTTATGTCACCGTCTTTGTCGGTGTGTAGCCTTTTATATTGTCTATCACATGGTATCTCCCTCTCGCTTGGGCTCATTGTCTACCTCTCGTTATATTGCTTCAAATATCGCTCATCGTTACTAACACCTCTCTTTTGTATTCTAACCGATTGACCTTCCGGCGAGCCCGCGGAACCCGTTGTGAACCGAGCAGCCACCCCGACGACCTCCACTGCCCCTCTACGACACCCTCGACATCCCCGAGGCAAGATACTTTTCTCATTGACTTGTCATTATAATTTTTAGATCTGTTGTGAAATAATTATGTGCATAATCAGGTTGTAATATGATTGTGTTGTAGGGTATATTGTGATAATCTGTGTGGGTTTGTTGATGAATGATACTAAAAATAATAATGTGATAAATAATACTGCTGTAGTTATATTCGTGAAGTGATGAGCATGATATGTATTTTAAAACCCATATATAATAAGTGGATATGTTAAAAACTAGATTATGATTAATTATAAGATGTTTTTAAAAGAAGAATATTTTTAAAGATTATTTTGAATTATTAATTATGATAAATAATTTAAAGGAATTTATTTTGGTAAAAGGGATTATTTTAAACTATTATAATAATGAATATTTTAAAAGAATTTATTTTGGAAGAGGGATTATTTTAGATTATTATAATGAGAAATAAATTAAAAGAATTTATTTTGCAAAAGGAATATTTTAAATAAATAAATTTATTATTTTAAAAGATTATTTTAGAATAGTTTTATGAGAAGTTTAGAGATCTGAATAGTAAGATTTTGATAAAATCAGTTACATGAATATATTGTTCACAGTCACTGTTCATACATATCGTACTGTTCATAGTTACTATTCATGTTTTATGATCTTTATTTTAATGTATTTGATATGCCATAATATTATTGCATAGAGTTAGTTGTATTTATTACTCCTTGTCGTGTTTGAGAACCAATAGGAGTTCATGACTTAGTGACCCTTGCGCATCATGAACAAGACCTAGAGACATGTGTGTGTGTGTGTGTTTACTTAGACATACAAGAAACAGTGGGATGGGAAAGTCTTGATTCATGTGATCGGATATGGTTGTTGATGTATCTTCTAGACTCGCACCAGTGACATGTTTCGTCCTGGAGTAGGTTTGTTGGGCCAGTGACCTGTTTCGTCACTTTGGTCAGTAACCTGTTTCATTACCCAAGTTTTGCTTGAGTTCGGACTAGGCCGAAATCGGATTGCGTGTAGTCCTCTCACCGAACCGTTTCGCGGGTTTGGATGCACGTAGAGGATTTGTGAACAGTTGGTTATCCAATAATATGAACGTTGACTTTATTTGAGATGTGGACCAGTGATCTATTATAGGATGGCTAGCTGCTTGACCTCGTTACTTGGTTGATTTTTGGATTCTTCTGATTATTATACTCTAGTGGTGGATTGCATTTAGATTATTAGAATTCCAGTGCCATGCTTTTATTGTTATTACTGTTAGTGTATTGGTCGTTCAACTGTTTCTATTCTCCCTTGTAAGATCTTGCCATGTGCCATGCACGCTGACGTACTCCTGTTCTCTCGGGTTGTACGTCAGATTTAGTACGTCAGATTTAGAGGACGGACGGGTCCAGCTTGGAAACATGCAAGAGCCGGAGTATTTCTCAACAAGAGTGCCTTGCATACAAAGCAAAAGAAAAAGCCGAAGTTTAGTTATTTCTTTTAGTTACTTGATGGTCTTTAATTTACTTTTGTATCATTTTCCATTTCCGTTGGGTCGATGTATTTTTATATTTTCTCCAGTATTTAGTTGGATAGTTTTGTATTATGGCATGTATGACCCGAGTATTATGTCTTGGATGATATTTCTTTTATGATATGGATCATTTTGTTCTGAGTTGTTTATTATATTCTTGCTAATTGTGATCGGGGACTTGTGACTTTGCATTATACTGCTTGACGCTTAGCGTATTAGATTGAGCAGAAAGGGTCTAGTACTTATTTCTCCTCAGTCTGATACGTCACGGGCTTGTTCGTGTTCAGGTTCCCTGGTATTTTGGGAAGCAGCGCGTGACATCCTATCTTTATGGTAACTACACCTAAGTGTGTGCTTGATAGGAGCACATCTATAAATACAATTAATAAGTGTTTTGGATCCCTAAACTTAATTACTCTCTCTTATTTTTTTATACACCATCATAAGAGTGTATGAGAGCTTAGAAGAACACCAAAACACAGAGCATTAAGGCATCTCCAAGCAATGGTGTCAATGGACGGAGGTATACCGATCTCTTCCGCATTCAGTTTATTCAAATTCATAGCATATATTGTTTGTAAATATGCTTATAAGTATTGCGGAGCTTATTTTTGACACATATATCTTACTAATCAGGACTGCGAAGCCCCTTGGCTAATTTCTCAATGGATCAGTTTAAAGCATGCTGGATCCACTCAAATTCTAAATTCAAAAGTTGAATTTTCAAATTGAAACACGTGCATACTTTGGATCACCTTATGTTAATATGCATGAACTATGCAGAAACAAAAATCATCAAAGATTTTGAATGCTTTGACACATGAAGAAAATCTAAAGAACTTATCTTTTTTTTGACTTGGGAGTACCTATCGAATTAAGTTTTGGGTTTAATCCTTTTTTACGTGGAAGTGTCATGTGAGTATGGCATGACCTTATTGTGAAGCTAAAGAACATTCAAAACATAGATATTTCACTCAAATCTCGTACTTTTAGAGTATTAATCATCGTTTATCCTTGTCATATTATTAAGTCATTTGTCACATAACTGTTTAAAAGGATACTCTGAGATAAAAAAAAGGATCCTCTGAGACTACCAATCACCGACACGTGCGAGCGTTCCAAATCAATGACCTGTGAGGCTTAGTCTGTTGCATCGCAGTTTACGTGGGATAATCGTAACAAAGAGCTATTCAGGTATCATGATTTCTCTATTTTGGGCATGTTATTCAGTCAGGAAGCAAAAAACTGTGTTTGGCAACATAATATCCAAATCCGATAAACAAAGATTTCAATCCGAACCCGAACTTCATGTCTCAGTCGGGTTAAACCCTAATTAAAGGCCTTAATTAGGGTTTAACACCCTCCTAAATAGTCGGGGTTGGCAACCCCGACTATTTAGGATAGTGATTAATCTGCTAATCACAAAATCCGGTCGGTTTTGATAAATAAAAGAAAAAAGGGTCGATTTTGAAAAATAAAAAACTAAATGGGTCGATTTTGAAAAATTGTTCTTTTCAGAATCTCCCTATTATTTGTCCGTTTTTAAACAAAAATAAAAACATCGCCGCCGTCGAGATCGAGAGAGAGAGAGAGAAGCCCGACAAATCCCTAATTAACCCTACTCTCTCGAGCAACCCATGGAATCCAATGGCAGCATCTTATACGAAACCCTAGATTCTTTCTCTTTCTTCTCAAATCCCGACCCTACTCCGTCCGAATCCCACGCCGTGTTTCGGAACCAAATAACGTCTTCGGCCGATTTATCGGCCGATATCCCCGTCGCCGATTACTTCTCTCTCGACGTCGCCGCTGAGTCTCCTCCTCGGGATGCTGAAGAATCTCCTCCTCTGCCTTCGGTCGATGATCAGGCTAATGGAGAGAGCAAGGTCTCGGAGCTTGCTTGGTTTCGTTCTGGCAGTAAATTCAAGAGCCCCATGATTCAGCTCCATAAAGGTGAGATTTTTGGAAATTTGATGCGATTAGGTTTTGTTAGTGTTGAGGTTATGTTTTTAAAGTTGAGGTATTTGTTGTGATGGAGGGAAAAAAATGATTGTCTGAGCAGGCAGAGATCGAAAAGATAAAGCCTGAGAATTAGATTGCTTTTTTCTGTTTCTCATAGAGTAGTTTTACACTTAGAACTGGCAAAGAATGATGAGTTTGTGATAAAAATAGGTAATAAATATTTTCGACCTACCAATAGAGATTAAGGAGCGCCATATGACCTAATTCTTTTGATTGAATATCGTAGCCAGTTGCAACGGTACCGGCCCATCTTGTGTTTAGCTTTTATCCTGCGGCGTCTCATGACCTTAAGTGAAATGTACGAAGAGAAAAAAGATTATGTTATCAACTAACAGAAGTATAATCTAGTGGCGGATCCAGGATTTATGGAAAGTGGTGTCACCAAATAATTAATGTTAAAAAATTATAATTTTCCTCGATGAGTTTTCATATTTTGAAAAAGTAAATAATGGAAAGGATAGTTACACTATCAAATATATCTTTCTCAGTATATATCACTAACAAGCATTGAGCCAACCATCTCCTTGATTAATAGCACAATCATTGTATCATTAGTTAAGCCATCAGTCATCATGTCATTATTCATTTGTAATACTACCAGTCATCCCTTAAAGAAACTTTCATGACTATTCATTTTCTAACAAACCCTTAATATTTCTATTCCAAGATACTAGAATGAATTTTTATCAAACAATGATTTTTTATTTATTATAAGCATGTAAGTAAATTAGATTTTTTTATTACTTGTTAGTTGTTGTACCTACTCTTTATAATTAAAAAAATATCCTTCACTGTGAATCAAAGAATTTAACTCTTCATTATGAGAAGAAAACCGATATCTTGCTAACATTAGTATGTACAATAATATGTATTAATGCCTACAAACTTATAAAAAGTTAAGAGGAAAGTGGTATCCAAGAATTTAACTCTTCATTATGAGAAGAAAACCGATATCTTGCTAACATTAGTATGTACAATAATATGTATTAATGCCTACAAACTTATAAAAAGTTGAGGAAAGTGGTATCACGTGACACCACTTCCTCCATGGTGGATTTGCCATTGTTATTATCTAGTGCCACTTTCATAGTTAGACCTATGTCCATGTTTGAGGAATTTGTATAAGATGTCCTACTTGGTTCAGTGCATATCAAGTTTGAATAACTGTGTGGGATATATGACTAATTTGTATAATCATCTTATGGATACTACGCGGTTGTTTCTTGGTCCTGACTTCATATTCTGTATGTACATGTCCAATCATTGTATTTTCATGACCTGAAAGTTCAAGCATTTGTTTATAACGAAGACTGATAGTTGTCTAGTTGGATGCTGTTTTATGTTCTTTGAACATGATAATCTGTATCTTTCTTAAGATTGCTAATAATTGTAAAGAGCATGTGCCTGATTTCTATTCATTTTTTTTTCAAGAGTTGGTGGTCTATATTCCTTATAACTAGAAATGATCTAAATATTGCTGTGGTGTCTCAGAGATAATTGATTTTTGCAACTTTGTGTCACCAACTCCTGAAGAAGAAGCCTCACGCAGTGCTGCTATGCAAGGTGTTCTTGATGTCGTGAAATATATTTGGCCACACTCCAAAGTATGCTTTACCAATATTGGAATATCAATGCGTACAACCGTTCCTACTTGGATTTATTTATGCCCATACATAGACTTCCTATCTTTTAACTGGCTGTTGCTGTAGGTGGAAGTATTTGGATCATTTAGGACAGGTCTTTACCTACCAACCAGTGATATTGATGTAAGTCATTCATACTTTTGAAGTTTGCTTCTGTTTTGAATGTTATTCTACTATAATTTCGATCAATATATAATTGAATTAGTCTCTTTATTGACTGATTTATTTGATGAGATTCTATTTATCTTTCATGTATTTAGTTATTTGAGTAAATTTTGTAGTCTATTCACTATTCAGACATATCTTCAATGGTAAGGCTAAAGATATATGATACTTCTAAAAAGAGAAGAGTAGCAGATTCACCGTTTAGGAGTGGCTGGTCTATTTGAATATTTATAGATGCTATTTTCTTAAGTTTTGAATATTAAAAAGTTTCAAATATATTTCAGTAGATGGATCTGTCAGATAGATTTTAATTGAAACCTAAACAAGTTTAAGATTGATTCAAGTTTTTGTACCTCATGTGAGGTAAAACAGCGATATTATTTTCTTTTAAGAGTGTTGTAGATTATTTCATGGTAAGTATTATTTGTATTTATGATGCACAAATACTGGTGATTGTTTTCCTGAAATCAGTTTGACTGAGTCAAATAGACATTGCTATTACATGTCTATAGTCTAATAAATTTTTTACAAGAGATCAGTGTGAATATATGCAATTTTAATATTTTGAATAGTTAGTGCAAGTCATGGTCAATAGTGCTTCACGGCTGATCTGAACTTCTGTAGGTGGTGATCTTGGATTCGAAGGTCAAAACTCCACAAATAGGTCTCTATGCTCTTGCTAGAGCATTATCTCAGAGAAATATTGCCAAAAAGACGCAGGTTAGCATTTTAAGACTTGTGGGTTTTGCAGTACGTAGCTGTTCTTCCTGACATGACATCAGCATGGAATTACTGTTTTGACCTAAGGTTATAGCTAAGGCTCGAGTTCCTATTATAAAGTTCGTGGAAAAGAAAAGTGGAATAGCATTTGACATCAGGTTCAATCTGCTCCTTATCTGGTTTTGTATTTAATATATTATATATTATATATTATATATTCAAAAGACTATATTAATTACTGATTGTTAATTTGTTTGTTCAGATGCATTAGCTGCTTATTTTGCTTGACATGGTTGTCCCTATTACAGTTTCTGTGGTTATTCGGACTGCTTGTGCTGATGCACCAGCTGCTTATTTTGCCTTGGTTTTCCCTTGTTACATTCTGTGTAGTTAATCTGTTACTATAATCTTATCTTTGTACATAGCACTAAATGTGAGTGTGTCTGGTTCTCTTCTCTTCTCGCCTTTCTTCCATCAAATGCTGCTTGTACTCGTTTTTATATTCATTCATATTCATAGTAGGATAGTAGCATAAAAGCAACTTATTCCTGAAGTGAAGTTTCTGATATTTAACAGACCATGGTTTTTGTGTCAAGTTGAATGATGGCTTGTAGTCCACAGTTGTTTGAATGGAGATGATTGTTTGTTGGAGCAATGAAAATGAAATAAGAGGGTGATATCTTTTGTTTTGAGCCCAACTTTTGTAGTCACTACAACTAGTTGTTAACAATTGCTGCCTTTATCACTAATTTAATTCTGTCTTGAGGGTTGAGACTTGATAAGAAATGGGTCTTTTGAGCTCCTACCCTCACTAGTGACTGGTTTTCTAATTTTTATGCGATCCAGAACAGTTGTCAGAATTGTTGTGCTTTGTGGCGTATGGTGTTTACATGTTATCATGCTCATGAGCTTTAAGCATCTCAAAATGACCGGAAATTTTTTCCATTATTTCTTGAAAATCATGAACTTCTCTAGACTTCGTTGCATAGTGGTGCACCAATTTTGTCAGGATTGTATGCTCCTTTGAATCTCTTTTGTGCATAATGTTTTCTGTGGAATGCCTAAGTACTTGATTTGTTGTTGTTTTAACAGTTTTGATATGGATGGTGGACCAAAGGCTGCTGATTTCATTAAGGTATAGAAGAGGCCTATCTTTTTCTATCTTTATTCTTTTTTATAGTTTCTGGAGCGTATGTTGTTGTTATATTAGAAACTGTAAATTGAATAAATAGGCATTGTACTGACCTTCCATTCAGTGATATAGATTCTAATATAAATGCTAGAGATCTCAGAATCATTTTGGACATTACCATCATGAGATTTCCTTAAGTTTAATTGTTTTGGGTATTAAGTAATAGAATTGAGAGAACCAATGTGTATTGGGAGGTAAGAGCTAAGAATGGCTTGTTTTCTTTATCTTTTTCTGGGGTATAACTGTAGACGTCCTAGTTATATTGTAATTGATTGTTGTGAAATAAAATTCTTTGACAATGGATGTGTAATATTATAAATTATATAGGAATATTAGTAATGACTATGTCCTTGTTTTAACCAGTGGTCCATGGTGAGGTTTCGAGTTTCGACATAGAGATGTGAATACAACCGTGGCCTTCTGCCCTTCTGATATTTAGCAACTGGGGTAAGGAGGTCATGGCTTGGAAGTCCAAACTTCCCTTTTCTTCTCTCTTCCTTTTCTCCTCTTCCTTTTCTCTAATTAATAGACACATGATATTTGGGAAATGTGCTTTAAGTGCGGTTTTTTGCTTTCCTCCAACTTGTCATTAAGGTCTGAAGTGTCTTCTGGAGCACATGTTGGGATAGAGAGACCCATAAGTCATAAGTAATTGTCAACTGAGCATATAACTGGAAAGGAACTGGCTTAACGCGTTACAAGATGCATTACTAAACTATGATTAACTCACTATTGTAGGAACTAAGGATATATTTTTCCTCCTTTTCAGGTAAACATACTTATTGTTCACTGGCCACGAGTTTCTAATTGAACATAAGGCCTGTTCTTTAATCCCATGAACCTCATCAACTACTCATGTGATGATGCATGGCTTCGTCTGTTTGACGTTGTACTTGAAAACTTTTCTTGATCAACTACTCATGTTCAATTAAAGAGACACATAAGTCATAAGTAGCTCACATTGTTAACTGAGCATATAACTGGAAAGGAACTGGCTTAATGCGTTACAAGATGCATTACTAAACTATGATTAACTCACATTGTAGGAACTAAGGATTTATTGTTCCTCCTTTTCGGGTAAACATACTTATTGTTTACTGGCCACGAGTTTCTAATTGAACATGAGGCCTGTTCTTTAATCCCATGAACCTCATCTACTCATGTGATGATGCATGGCTTCGCCTGTTTGATGTTGTACTTGAAAATTTATCTTGATAAACACTTCCAAAAGTAGGTCATCCTGTAGTCAGTTAGAAGGTATCAATAGTACCGTTTCTTGAAGTCAAGTTGTGAGACATACCTTGAGTGTGTAAAATTGTGTTCTTTCTGGTAGTGATAAGTTATTCCCTTCTTAAAAGGTTGTGCTTTCCATTCTAATCTTGCAGTTGGGCCAGACCAGTTGTCAAAGTTAGATTTGCTTTGGTCCACGTGTTTATTTTATGCTGGCCTATGATTCAGTATTGTACCATTTTCTTATAAGCATAGATAATGAAATACTATGTAATATTCTCTCAGGATGCTGTCAAAAGGTTGCCACCTCTAAGGCCATTGACTTTGATTTTAAAGGTTTTCCTGCAGCAGAGGGAATTGAATGAGGTTTATCCTCCTTCCTGTTTTTTCTCAAATTGTCCGGTTGTTACCTTGGCCTGTTTTGTTATCATAACAATGTGTCCCTTGTGTTCATTTCTTCTTCTTTGCAGGTGTATTCAGGTGGAGTTGGTTCATATACACTTCTTGCGATGCTCATAGCATTCTTGCAGGCAAGTACAAAATTGTCTTTAAATCTGTAAGCTTTTTTCATGTATGTTTACTAGTTACTTTTAGTGGTTTGCAGTTTGTCATATCCAAAAAGTGATATTATGTCGTTTTTTTTTCTTTTTTCTGACTACGAATTTATTATGATCAGGTGTTTTGATTTTCATTTTTATTTTTGAGCCATATTTTCAATTGCTCCAGTAGCTGTCAATTTTATGCATTCAGTTAACTGGCTCAGTTTGTTGTAGAAATCATGATATTTGTCACATCCATCAGTTGGAAAGAATTAAACCCTTTGTTTTCTCTATTGCAACGCACTACCTAAACTACTGTAATTACTCTGAATTGTGGCTGAGAGTAGAAGAGCTGTTATTTTTGTCATAAATTTATCTTGGGATTACTCCCAGGAATTTGTTCGCTGTTGAATTTTATTTTCTAGCTCTTTCATTGTAAGAACATTCTATTTTCAGTTACATTGGAGAGGTCAAGAATTATTGAGATGCGAGCGGTCCATGGAGCATAATCTGGGAATTCTTCTGGTACATTACGAAACACGAACACCGACCAATAATGTCACTTTGGTTTTCTTTCATAATCTCATCTTAATCGTTTTTTTGTGGAAGGTTAAATTTTTTGATTTCTATGGTCGCAAATTGAACACGTTAGATGTTGGTGTATCTTGCATCTCATCAGGCACTTTTTACTTGAAAACTGACAGAGGGTATGCCGAAATTACTTTTCTTGTCATGCATGTTGTGTATAACCGTCTAAATTCAGCAGTTCATATTCTTTGAAGATCCTTGGACTATTAAGTCTGATCACAAGCAGCTCAAGCAACTAATTTCATTATTGGTTTCAGGTTTCTTAACACACAGAGGCCAGAGCTTCTCTCAATTGAGGATCCCCAGGTATCTTTTTTGTTTTCTAGACTTATCTTTATGAAGTATATCCATTTAAATGACATCGATAATGAGTTTCATTTGTTCAAATGATATTGGTGATGATTTAGGCACCTGACAATGACGTTGGGAGGAACTCCTTCAACTTTTTTAAGGTCATCTTCTGCAATTTTCTCTTTTTTCAGCACTACGTTCATATAAGCTTATCTTTATGCATGTTCTTGCACGTGTCCATGTATTGCATGTGGGTTAACAGTGCATTATAAGTACTGTTTTGACCTTAATATTTCTCTGAGGTACCTGCATTTTTTTTCTTTGAACATAGTTAGCCACCTAGGTGGTCATGGTCAAGCAAAAGAATTAAAAGAGAAAACAAAAGAAAAAAGCAGTGTTCTTGCATTCGAACATAAATATGGATCAATAATTGGTTAAGAATTCGAAGCTGAGAACAACAGATCCAGATCCATCTTTTATAGACTACTTTTTAGTGATTATATATTGGAGAAAACAAGTAATTAATTCTATTGAAGTGGATAACTAAAATAATTCAATAGAATCTCCCATATTTAAAATACATCTTCATATGAGCATCAAGTATTTCCTAAAAGAAAAGGGTTTTCTCTTCTTATTTGATCAAGTATTTCCTAAAAGAAAAGGGTTTTCTCTTCTTATTTGATCAAGTATTTCCTAAAAGAAAAGGGTTTTCTCTTCTTATTTGATCAAGTATTTCCTAAAAGAAAAGGGTTATCTATTTAAAATACATCTTCATATGAGCATCAAGTATTTCCTAAAAGAAAAGGGTGCTCTCTTCTTATTTCTATTTAAAATACATCTTCATATGAGCATCAAGTATTTCCTAAAAGAAAAGGGTGCTCTCTTCTTATTTCATCAGTTATCTATTTATATAATTACATTTTGACTCCATCTTGCATCCAATTTGATTTAATTTTTCAAAATCCAAATCTGACCTGCCCTGTTAAGTGAATTCTGGTGCAAAATAATCTCAGTCCCCAGTCAAGTTTTATCTCTAGTTTAGTTATCTGGTTTTTCAAATGCTGTTTTTATCTCTGGCATAGGATTTTTTTTTTAATGTCGTGTCCCCCAGAGAAAAGTACTAATATGTGGACATACATTTCTATTTCTCATCTCTTCTTTCTGCCTTCTTTATTCGCCCTCTATTTCATTAGGTGAGATCAGCCTTTTCAATGGCTTACTCATTACTGACCGATGCAAAAACCATCATCGGCTTGGGATCACGGAAAAGCATACTCGGAACCATAATCAGACCGGACCCGGTGCTCCTAGATCGAAAGGGTGGAAGCAATGGGGAACTCACATTTGCTAACTTGCTTCCTGGTGCTGATGAACCTTTATCTCAGCAATTTGGGAATGAAGATAGTGTCATATACAACTGGCAATTAGTAGATGAAGAACCTCTGCCTAGAGAAAAAATAGTAGCCAATGATGATAGTGCAAAAAGGAGGGCCTCGAAAGCGGAACGGAGATTTAAGAAAGGGGACTGCAGTGTGGAATCATCAAAAAGAGGAAATGGAGAAAATGGGTTTGGCAGTAGAGAAGTAGATATTAAGAAGAAACGTAAAAAGTCGTTTCAAGCAGATGATGATAGATTCAGCAGAAGTCTCCCAAGAAATTGGAGTCGTAGATACTGATATATATATATTTTAAATTGCTTTCTGGAGTTGCTCGCAAAGTTGATGAAGTTGAATGGTGAGATCAGCAGGTATCTATTGTGGAGAAAACAAATCCTTGCTCGGGAGAATGTAATGTTGTGTAACATTCAATGTAATAGTATACTGGAGTTTCATCAAATCATTTTTGGTTCCTCACTAACAAGTAGTTGAATGTAACATTACTTTGTATCCTTTTCCAATGTGAGGGAGATAATGGTTTATAAATTGATACCATTGATTTTTAAAAATTAAAAATTTTGAATTCCCTATACTAATGTTGTGTCAATTTGTTAATGTAATGTTCTGGGATTTTGCCTCGTGAAGAATATTGGCTTTATCGCTCTACAAAAGAAGAAAAAACCTTTGCAAGAACATTAACAACAATGTAAGCTGCTACTAGATAAAAAAAATGTTAAGCTACGAAACCCTAGCATTACCTCATTGCTCCATCCGCATTCTCAATACTGTTGGTGAATATTTATCTGCAGCCTACTTCATCCAAAATATAGGATACGCGTGACACCCTGCTGAAAATTATTACAACATAATTAAGCCAATATATTTTTTCCCCTTTAACTTGGTATCTCAAGGCTCCAATAACAAGACGAAACCCATTCCCAGACACATAATTCATGTTCCCAAGCAAGATCCAGTTTCACTTCACAAATCTCATTTATGGGAAGTGGGAACACCAAACTATCATAAAACTCACGCATACTCCATATATACAAGAATACATTGGACTTACTCTAGCATGACTGCTTTATTAAAGACAGGACAGAAGTACGAAATCATCACCACCTCGATCCTCCAGCAGCAGGACCAGAGTTCAACCTATCGAGCAGCGCGTTAAAGTCCACAGGCTGCCCGCTCTCTGCCATCCTATTTACAACACCGATGACCTGATCCCTTGGATATCCCATACTCACAGCTTTCTCAATCATGTCCATATAAGGATGGCTTCGCACATGAAAACCGCTACTGTTTCCAAGAAGCAGGTGTTGGTTCTGCATGCCCGAAACATTGCTTGGGGGTGGATAGTTTCCTCTTTGATACGCCTGAACTCTGCTTCCATCCGAACTGTAGACAGTGTTATAGCCCTGTACATTAGGCTGTGGTGCGTAAGGTGAAGCACTTGCATAACCAGTGGGCTTGGTTGAAGGCATTCCAAAAGAACTTTGGTTAACTCCAGATTGAGGAACTGTTGAATATGCAAAGGTTTCCTGATTATTGGGCTGATGGGTGTACGGGATATAACTGGGTGGTGTTTGAGGTCGAGCAAGTTGGGATTGTGAAGTTGGTGGTTGAGTTGGTGCCATAGCCTGTTGGGTGAGCTGCTGGGGAGATGGCTGAGGCCAATGCTGCTGCTGGTATTGAGGGAATGGCTGTGGATTTTGGGGCTGATTTGCTATGTGAGGCTGATGTTGTGGTGGTGGTGCTTGGCTTGGTTCCTGAATTTGAGCTCTCGGTTGTATGTACTGTGCTTGTGTTTCAGGCTGCAAGGCCTGGCTCTGCTGAGAATAAAAGGGGGCTGGTTGTTGTGGTGTGTAATGATTATGTGGAGGGGCAAGAGCAGGTGACTGCTGCTGCTGCTGCTGCTGCTGCTGCTGAATTGGAAGCTGATTCATTTCAGGAGTTCTAGTGGGAAGAGAGGATGACACTGGGATCTGGGTGGGCAGAGCAAGGGCTAAGTGCTGACTGGGAACGTTTGGTGTGTCATCGTGCCTTTTGGGCTCAGGAACTGACGATGATGAGATGGTGTCTTCGTTGTTTTGATATTTGGTAGTAGAGGCAGATTCCCTGGGTGCTAGCTGAAGTCTGGTCAACTCCTTCTGAGTTTCGGCAAGCTCTTGTTTGTCTCTGAGAATTTGAATGGACCTGTGGACCTGATATAACCAAGAAGAATTTTGAGGTTTCTGTGGCTAGCATCCTTATCATGTTTGATAAGCTCAGTAATTAGGGAAGGAAATCAGTTTCCTCTGTAAATAAATGGGCATTATTGGGTTTGATATAAAAGAGGACCGACAGATTTTATGTTCAGCAGCATGCACTGCTGTTTATTGAAAAATACAACATGAAATCTAAGAACAAATTAAAAAAAAAGCAAGCAGAAACATGAAGGTTGGATATTTTAGTATGAAGATTATCAAAGAAAAAAAGGAATATCATGTAATTTATTATATTCACTTCAAAGGTGGCATTAAAGGATCCAAATCCAAATCATATTCACCAAATATTATTCATGCGTTCCGCATGACTATAAACAAGGTCATAAACTGATAATACTAAAAACTGGATGTGGGAGATGAAAAAAAAAGGAAAGCAAAGAAATTTCGTTTGGTAGGTGAGAGATACAAATACATATTAACTTCTCTATGACTTTCATCAGATACAGTGACTGCTGGGGCCTTTCCAATGTGAGGGAGATAATGGTTTATAAATTGATACCATTGATTTTTAAAAATTAAAAATTTTGAATTCCCTATACTAATGTTGTGTCAATTTGTTAATGTAATGTTCTGGGATTTTGCCTCGTGAAGAATATTGGCTTTATCGCTCTACAAAAGAAGAAAAAACCTTTGCAAGAACATTAACAACAATGTAAGCTGCTACTAGATAAAAAAAATGTTAAGCTACGAAACCCTAGCATTACCTCATTGCTCCATCCGCATTCTCAATACTGTTGGTGAATATTTATCTGCAGCCTACTTCATCCAAAATATAGGATACGCGTGACACCCTGCTGAAAATTATTACAACATAATTAAGCCAATATATTTTTTCCCCTTTAACTTGGTATCTCAAGGCTCCAATAACAAGACGAAACCCATTCCCAGACACATAATTCATGTTCCCAAGCAAGATCCAGTTTCACTTCACAAATCTCATTTATGGGAAGTGGGAACACCAAACTATCATAAAACTCACGCATACTCCATATATACAAGAATACATTGGACTTACTCTAGCATGACTGCTTTATTAAAGACAGGACAGAAGTACGAAATCATCACCACCTCGATCCTCCAGCAGCAGGACCAGAGTTCAACCTATCGAGCAGCGCGTTAAAGTCCACAGGCTGCCCGCTCTCTGCCATCCTATTTACAACACCGATGACCTGATCCCTTGGATATCCCATACTCACAGCTTTCTCAATCATGTCCATATAAGGATGGCTTCGCACATGAAAACCGCTACTGTTTCCAAGAAGCAGGTGTTGGTTCTGCATGCCCGAAACATTGCTTGGGGGTGGATAGTTTCCTCTTTGATACGCCTGAACTCTGCTTCCATCCGAACTGTAGACAGTGTTATAGCCCTGTACATTAGGCTGTGGTGCGTAAGGTGAAGCACTTGCATAACCAGTGGGCTTGGTTGAAGGCATTCCAAAAGAACTTTGGTTAACTCCAGATTGAGGAACTGTTGAATATGCAAAGGTTTCCTGATTATTGGGCTGATGGGTGTACGGGATATAACTGGGTGGTGTTTGAGGTCGAGCAAGTTGGGATTGTGAAGTTGGTGGTTGAGTTGGTGCCATAGCCTGTTGGGTGAGCTGCTGGGGAGATGGCTGAGGCCAATGCTGCTGCTGGTATTGAGGGAATGGCTGTGGATTTTGGGGCTGATTTGCTATGTGAGGCTGATGTTGTGGTGGTGGTGCTTGGCTTGGTTCCTGAATTTGAGCTCTCGGTTGTATGTACTGTGCTTGTGTTTCAGGCTGCAAGGCCTGGCTCTGCTGAGAATAAAAGGGGGCTGGTTGTTGTGGTGTGTAATGATTATGTGGAGGGGCAAGAGCAGGTGACTGCTGCTGCTGCTGCTGCTGCTGCTGCTGAATTGGAAGCTGATTCATTTCAGGAGTTCTAGTGGGAAGAGAGGATGATACTGGGATCTGGGTGGGCAAAGCAAGGGCTAAGTGCTGACTGGGAACGTTTGGTGTGTCATCGTGCCTTTTGGGCTCAGGAACTGACGATGATGAGATGGTGTCTTCGTTGTTTTGATATTTGGTAGTAGAGGCAGATTCCCTGGGTGCTAGCTGAAGTCTGGTCAACTCCTTCTGAGTTTCGGCAAGCTCTTGTTTGTCTCTGAGAATTTGAATGGACCTGTGGACCTGATATAACCAAGAAGAATTTTGAGGTTTCTGTGGCGAGCATTCTTATCATGTTTGATAAACTAAGTAATTAGGGAAGGAAATCGGTTTCCTCTGTAAATAAATGGGCATTATTGAGTTTGATATATAAGAGGACTGACAGATTTTATGTTCAGCAGTGTGCACTGCTGTTTATTAAAAAATACAACATGAAATCTAAGAACAAATTAAAAAAAAGCAAGCAGAAACATGAAGGTTGGATATTTTAGTATGAAGATTATCAAAGAAAAAAAGGAATATCATGTAATTTATTATATTCACTTCAAAGGTGGCATTAAAGGATCCAAATCCAAATCATATTCACCAAATATCATTCATGTGTTCCGCATGACTATAAACAAGGTCATAAACTGACAATACTAAAAACTGGATGTGGAAGATGAAAAAAAAGGAAAGCAAAGAAATTTTATTTTGTAGGTGAGAGATACAAATACATATTAACTTCTCTATGACTTTGATCAGATACAGTGACTGCTGGGGCCATGTTGTCTAAGGTGCAATATGGAACCATGTTAAATGGAACTAGATCATCATGATTTGTTCCTTATAGTGGAGTAGCTAAAGACCAAAACATTCATTGGGTCCAATCCAAGTCCCTCTGGCCAAATCTGCCAAATATGCGTTTGGTCCAAACCAAACCAACACTCAGTAACATAAATTAAATACCACACCTAACCCTTTCTCCTTCGCTATTGGAATGCAATGTTGGCAATACAACAGTAAACATCAGAGAAAATTGAAATAAACCGACCCATTCACTGTGAAGATATCTCGCCATTCGTATGCAATAGTCAATGTTCGAGTGCAAGCACAAGAAGACAACAGAAAATATTGAATAAGAAAGAAAAGCGAAAACATATTAAAACCTGTATTCTCACTTCAATTTTGCATAGGCCTGTTCCAGGGGTTTTTAGATGTTAGCTTGATTCGTCATGAGTTCTTTGTATAGTGCTTTTATGAGTAGTTTTTTATATTCAGTTGTTGTGATTCCCCAAGGTCATGAGTTCTTTGTATAGTGCTTTTATGAGTAGTTTTTTATATTCAGTTGTTGTGATTCCCCAAGGGGATTTTGTTAAACTTACAATGCCTTAGAATGAGTAGTTTTTTATATTCAGTTGTTGTGATTCCCCAAGGGGATTTTGTTAAACTTACAATGCCTTAGACCTGTATAGCGCTCATTGGTAATGAAATTTATTCATTTACCAAAGAAAAAAAAGAGGAAAAACTGTAAGAGTGATTTCAAGGGCAATAGGAAGCATGCTCCTACATTGACCTAAATTGGAATAAGATTAATCAATTAGTTTTAACAAATTCAACTCAAAATTGGCCTAATCAAGATTGTACGAGACGGTGATGATGTATACATCTCGTTGGCCTATCAAATAACCAGTCCAACTAGAGAAATAGTACACACTTGCATCCTAAACCTGAAAAACAGAAGTTCTAGATTCGGCATGGCTAGATGTCTCCAACATGGTACCCATATTCGGTCCACGGAGCATTGTTGTCAAACAAGCATTGCACACGCGTAATGTAGCTCGAATAGTGTTCATTATAGTATGTGTTATGTGTATCAGTGTATGTACTCAGGATCTACAATGCATGGGCATCTTCACTAGGTGACACGGCTAACCAAAAAGCGGATCAGCATTAGATAGTTAGAAACATTAGATATTGTTATACCTATGTGACTAAGGCTTCTTATTTAGAAAAAACTAGAAATTATGCTGAGATTCCCTCAGATAATAGTGTAATTACTCAGATTTGCCTCCAATAAAAAAAAACTAGAAATTATGCTGAGATTCCCTCAGATAATAGTGTAATTACTCAGATTTGCCTCCAATAAAAATTGTGATAGTTCAAGAGAAGCAGCAAAGCATAACTTACTTCTTGCAGATGTTTTTCAAGAGACTTGAGCTTTGTATCTGCTTGACTCTGATCACGGTTCATATCAGCTTGAAATTCACCTATTGACCGCTCGAGTTTGTAGCAATATATCTCCAGTTGTGACAACCGTCCACTGATCCCATCAAGATGGCGCAATAGATTGTCAGCATACTTTTTCATGCACTTCTCAACAGCATCTATTATTTCTTCTTTTGAATACTCATCTTGTTGACCATAAACACTAACCAACTGTCTTCCCATTCTGCTTTCATGAAAACCCTTCACAATTAAAAAAAGATGAGTACACTTTTTTAGATCACTACGATACAAAGAATAACAAGTAGCTGCTTGAAACACCATCCAAAGATGTAAAGCTAATTGCTGGCATGCTACTATATTATGTGAATCAGGCCTGGATCGAAACACCATCCAAAGATGTAAAGCTAATTGCTGGCATGCTACTATATTATGTGAATCAGGCCTGGATCCCTGCCTTATATCAACTTATATTCGAAACCCAGAGTCATCTCACGGGACACATGCAGACCTCCCATCTAACATGGGGTAGGACCACAAAAGCTGGACCATTTTTCATCATTAAACAACAATCATGGAACATAAATTGAATAGAAATAATACATCATTGGGTAGAAATTTAGCTGGGAGCCCAAATGCAAAAGATAGTGATTCTCTATACGGTTTGAATTAGCTAACTCCACTCATTTGAGTGTTTGTGAAGCCGTTAGCGTCTTTGATTATTGCATGTAGACAGGATACAACTAACCAAACCAAACAGCACAATTTTCAATAATTTTACATATGAAACCATGACTAGAAATGTGTATAGACACCTGACCTAGTGTGGGCATACGTTCAAGCTGAAAGGACTTTACGCACAAGAAATTTACCATGTCTGCCCAGGGTAAATCTTATTCAAACAAGAAGTTACGGAAACTTATTGTCATTAAAATGGTTATTTCAAATTTTGAATGTAGACAACAATTGCTATCTATTATGAAAGAACACAGTTCAACTATTTCATCCTTAACATTCACCAATCACCATACATCTCAAAAATCCCTGATGGTAACTTCAAAAGCAGGATGAAGAAAATTCAATTTTTAAGCCAATCCCAGCAACAGCAAAAATAAAACACTGAGAATTTAGTACGCTAAACACCAAAGAGTTAGTTAAACAATCTTAAATGTTTCACCCTTATACAAAGATCACAACTTGAGTTTGAGCTGTCAATTAATCAAGCAATTAAATAATTTTTGCAAAGAATATATACCTTCTTTCACCGAAAATCACAGACTACACATTTCCACGCACAAAACCCGCGCTTTTAAAAATAAAAGTTATTACCGAAACCCAAAATTGCAACTTGTCCACTTTCAACGAAATTGAGTTGGTTCCTATAACTTTACCGTAGAATTCTCAACTAAAACGGTCAACTTCATCGCCTATCCACAAACAACCGAAGATTTCGTGCCCAGATTCGATCGGAATATATGAAAAATTTTACCTTTGGCGATGGATCTGATCGGTTTCCGTTGGGTGGATCCTGGTTGGTGTAGGCATCGTAGGCGCAGAGGACGTCATCGGAGTCGAAACCGAACGATCTCGGACCCGACGAGGTTCGGCCTGAAGATCCGCCGGAGGCCATAGAGATTAGATTCGAGAGATCAGAGACCGAGCTAGGGTTAGGGTTTCTCTCTCTCACTCAATTTCTTTGTTTTTCACAGAGAACCGCGACGAAGCAATTGACGGTAGATTACGAAATTGCAGTTGCGTACTAGTGTGGGGATCGCTATAAAAAATCATTAGCATTTTAATGAGAGTTTTATGTCAATATAACTACTCCACTTTCTTGGAATTACAAAAAACCGCTTGGTTTGTGAAATATTACAGGAAAAAAAATCAATACGGAATTGTTTATTATTCACTTTGATGTATCAAACGGCTGAGAAAATTTCGACTCCGAATCATTTAGCTGAGAGTGTCATATAAGAATAATCTCGTGAAAATTTTCATGTCAACATGGGAGAGGGCATCAAAGTGGCAACGTTAAATAACTTAAGAGTGTATAAATGATGTGAAAGACACCTAAGAGTATATAAATGCAAATTGAGTGAAAGTATAAGATATTTAAGTGCTATTTAGCCTAATGTTACATTTATATTTTTTTATATGTAACCTTAGTAGATTGTTTGGACACAAACATGGCCCTTAGGGCATCTCCAACCCAGCACCAAAATGATGCGAACAGTGCTTTTTGTTGCACTGTTCATTCTCCAACCCAGCTCTATTTTCTGCGCCATTTTGGTGCAGTTGAACAGTGCTGAACCAAATATGGTGTTGCACTGTTCATCCGCCCTATTACTGTTTATTTTTTTAAATTTTTTTTAAATATTTATTTTTACCTCTTAATTAATATAAAAATAGATAAAAGGAAATAAACTGAGAATATTCTGAGAATATTCTTTTTTGGTGTAAAAAATGGTGCAATGGGTTGGAAATGTATTACTGTTTGACGTGACTTTTGCACCATTTTGATGCAAAATTTGCACCATTTTGATGCAATGAGTTGGAGATGGTCTTAGCCCATTTACGAGTCCTTTTGTTTTTTGTGGAGCCAAACACGTTTAAAGCATGCTGTCCTGTACCAATTTAGATCGAGATCTAAAGCAACAATCCAAGGTCCAAGAAAAAAAATAAGTTTTGCTACGTGAACATAAAATATGGGATCAATAGAAGGAACAAGTGAGATGTTAAGTTGATCTGACTAACACATTATCCAATAGGAGGCGGACATCTCACTTTTCCCCGTATTGGTATCGTATTTTGGTTCCTTCAGTATTTTTCAAAAAAAATCCCTTGAAAATTACAGTCATTAATTACACTAGACGGGTCCAAATTCAAGTAGACGATCGATTGTCGATGGCGATCTCCGCTCCGTCGTCGGATTCTTTGTCGGCCGACAGCAAAAGATGTTGGGTTGTCAACGGTCTTCTCCTGGGCGCTGCGATCGCTGCCCGCCGCCGCGGCCGCTGGGGCCCACGCGGCCCTCGCCCTCCGCTGGTTCAGAAAGTCCCGGTCCAGAGTCGTCGGATTCATCCCGGCCCGATTCGCGTCGACCCGGTTCGAGGGCAAACCCCTCGTCCGTATTCTCGGCAAACCCATGATCCAGGTAATTCAAAATTGTCTCTTTTACTCGTAGAAGTATCCATTGTTGAATAATTTCGTAGAAAGATTTAATTTTGTGATATTAGCCATTTACCTTGGAGAAATTTGACGTTTTGCAGGAGTTGAGCTAGGTTATTATTAACAAGATGCTCATATTATTGATCTAAGTTTAAAATTCCAATTTCTACATTGATAAGCTGTACCTAAGATGTGATAATGCAACAATGTACAGTCTAGAGACGAAAATTTTGATGATTTCGGCAAGTTTATAATTTTGTTAAAATTATGGAACGTAGATTTTGACAAAGATGCATGGTTAAAACACCTTGAAATCATCTAGCTGATGTGTAGTGTAGTAGATCCAACCATACAGATTACAGATATCATCTATCAATTTAAAAACCGAAATTTTAAATTCAAACATGTAGGACGTTCGTCTCAGATATTGTATAGTAGCCTAGCTCAATTCTAGTTGAAGTGTCCAACTTTTCTAGTTCATTTACTTTTTTTTTTTGATTTTTTTTTTGGTTAATAGAGAACGTGGGAGAGATCAAAGTTGGCCTTGACCTTGGACCATGTTGGTAAGTTTGAAATGGCTATGCGTTGTTGCTATTGCTTTATTTTACAAATTATAGAGTCTTTTAAAATTTGGTACCGGCTTTACGTTATTTACACTAGTTCTTCGGAGCACAAGATGCGCGCATTACATAGTAAACTTGTGCATAAAAAAAGAGTGTTTTTAACACCTTAATAATCAATACTAATATGAATAGGTTTTTGGAAAAATTATTGCCAAAAACGACATAAAGTATCTTACTATTACAAAATGTGGGGAGTGGGAGAATTTATCAAGTAGTGGATTGTAATTAGGGTACTTTTAGATCTTTCTAAATTTGTCCTTCTAATCAGTTTCAAAGTGCATTAAATTGTTGAGGACATATGTTGAACTTTTTGAAATTTTGACACACATAGGGGTAGAACCAAAAGTGTGGCTTTTCTTATATAATAATAGTGATAGGTAATAGATGATTCATTTTGTATCTCAATCCAGATCATGCGAACTGGAATAATCCGGATTGCTGATGAGTAATTGATGTAATATGCTGTTTATACATTTAGTCTAATATTTTGCATACATCTGTATCATGGATTATTCCTAATATTATAATTATGCAAGTGGTTTACCAATGCCTTTTGCTTGTTATGCAGTTGTGGCAACAGATGATGAGAAAATTGCCAAATGCTGTAGAGGATTTGGAGCAGATGTGATAATGACATCAGGAACTTGTAAAAATGGTATTCTCTTGAATTTTTCTATGGATTTTTTTTCATTTAATACCCGTATATGCCTATGTTTAAATGTTTGGTAAAGGTTAGAGGTTATTTATATGCAGGAACTGAGCGCTGTAATGAAGCACTTAAAAAGCTTGGCAAGAATTATGATATAGTTGTCAGTATACAAGGAGATGAGCCTCTTATTGAACCAGATATAATAGATGGTGTTGTTAAAGCTTTACAGGTGATTATTTTTCCTAAAGCACTGGTTGCTGTATTCTTGTCATAACTTGATATTTCTAGAATTTTACAAGCCATTAGATTATGGACTATAATGAGAGAGGAAACTCTTATTCTTGTTATTCCCAGATGAAAATATCTCCTTTTACTAGCAACAAGGGCATGGTTTATTTTAAGTAAATTATGCTATCGATGTACTAAAACATCGTCCGCGATTCCACCTATTTGGTTGCAGCCTGCTTAATATAGTTTTGTCATATTATTTGAATACAATATCTTGTTATTTCTATGTTGTATGACGACCATGCTTGTTGCATCATGCTGCAGATTTGAGTCACCTTGAAAACAGTACATTATTTCTCCGTTCAATGTATTATATTCACCAGTTTATCGATATATTTTAACTGCAGCACATTATGTGCTACAGGGAGCTCCTGATGCAGTATTCAGCACGGCTGTCACATCCTTGAAACCAGAAGATGCCCTTGATCCAAACCGTGTGAAACGTGTGGTTAACAATCACGGTTATGCAATTTATTTTTCCAGGGGATTGATCCTTTTTAACAAGTGAGTTCTTTGACAATACATCAATCTGGTCACAATTTTCTCTTGTACTGTTTTTTTTCCTTTGTCTAATTCATTGATTTTATTTTGTATGCACATTTTATAATTCAGGTCAGGAAAAGTTAACCCACATTTCAGCTACTCTTCCTGGCATGACATCAGCATGGAATTACTGTTTTGACCTCAGGTTATAGCTAAGGCTCGAGTTCCTATTATAAAGTTCGTGGAAAAGAAAAGTGGAATAGCATTTGACATCAGGTTCAATCCACTCCTTATCTGGTTTTGTATTTAATATATTATATATTATATATTATATATTCATAAGACTATATTAATTACTGATTTTTAATTTGTTTGTTGAGATGCATTAGCTGCTTATTTTTCCTGACATGATTGTCCCTATTACAGTTTCTGTGGTTATTCGGACTGCTTGTGCTGATGCACCAGCTGCTTATTTTGCCTTGGTTTTCCCTTGTTACGTTCTGTGTAGTTATTCTGTTACTATAATCTTATCTTTGTACATAGCACTAAATATGAGTGTGTCTCGTTCTCTTCTCGCCTTTCTTCCATCAAATGCTGCTTGTACTCGTTTTTATATTCATTCATAGTAGGATAGTAGCATAAAAGCAACTTATTCCTGAAGTGAAGTTTCTGATATTTAACAGACCATTGGTTTTTGTGTCAAGTTGAATGATGGCTTGTAGTCCACAGTTGTTTGAATGGAGATGATTGTTTGTTGGAGCAATGAAAATGAAATAAGAGGGTGATATCTTTTGTTTTGAGCCCAACTTTTGTAGTCACTGCAACTAGTTGTTAACAATTGCTGCCTTTATCACTAATTTAATTCTATCTTGAGGGTTGAGACTTGATAAGAAATGGGTCTTTTGAGCTCCTACCCTCACTAGTGACTGGTTTTCTACTTTTTATGCGATCCAGAACAGTTGTCAGAATTGTTGTGCTTTGTGGCGTATGGTGTTTACATGTTATCATGCTCATGAGCTTTAAGCATCTCAAAATGACCGGAAAATTTTTCCATTATTTCTTGAAATTCATGAACTTCTCTAGACTTTGCTGCATATTGGTGCACCAATTTGGTCAGGATTGTATGCTCCTTTGAATCTCTTTTGTGCATAATGTTTTCTGTGGAATGCCTAAGTAGTTGATTTCTTGTTGTTTTAACAGTTTTGATATGGATGGTGGACCAAATGCTGCTGATTTCATTAAGGTATAGAAGAGGCCTATCCTTTTCTCTCTTTATTCTTTTTGATAGTGTCTGGAGCGTATGCTGTTGTTATATTAGAAACGGTAAATTGAATAAATAGGCATTGTACTGACCTTCCTTTCAGTGATATAGATTCTAATATAAATGCTAGAGATCTCAGAATCATTTTGGACATTACCATCATGAGGTTTCCTTTAAGTTTAATTGTTTTGGGTATTAAGTAATAGAATTGAGAGAACCAATGTGTATTGGGAGGTAAGAGCTAAGAATGGCTTGTTTTCTTTATCTATTTCTGGGGTATAACTGTAGACGTCCTAGTT